TTGATCATCCTATAGTGTTTGATAAACTTCCTGTAATAACTTGCCAAGCCTAGAAAATCCGTAAGTTCTCTCAAGTTCTTAGATAGTGGCCATTGTTTGACAACATTGATCTTTTAGGGATCAGTTGCCACCCCTTTAGAAAATATAATATCCCCCAAGTACTCAACCTTACTGGCCCTAAAATAGCATTTGGCTTGCCTTACACACAACTTGTGTTTCATTAGTAATTCCAAGGTCATTTTGATATGAACCAGGTGCTTAGATAAACTTTAACGGTGCTTAGTTAAACTTTTACTGAACACTAGAATATTATAAAAGAAGACTAATATGAACTTCCTGAGGTGCTCTTTAAACACATGGTTCATCAGACTTTGGAAGCAAGATGGAGCATTGGATAGCCAAAAGGGCATTATCAAATACTCATAATGGCATGCATAGGTTCTGAAAGCTGTCTTAACAATGTCTTCTCTAGCCACCCTTATTTGATGATAGCCTACTTTTAAATCTATCTTAGAATAGATGTTAGAGCCACCTAATTCCTCCCGCAACTCTTCTATAATAGGGATTGAGATTTTCTCCTTAAATGTTGCCTTATTGAGACCTCTATAATCCACACATAACCTCCAACTCCCATCCTTTTGCCAACTAGCACAATTGGTGAAACATATCGACTGGAACTAGCTAGGTTGTATAATTCCTTGATCAAGCATTTTTGTTATCAATTTCTCAATAACATCCTTCTGTGCTAATGAATATCTGTAGGGCCTTAAGTTCACAAGATTATTCCTAGACTCCAGAGGGATTTTGTGATCAAATGGTACTCTAGAGGGTGGTAACCCTTTTGGATCAACAAACAACTGAGGATATTCTTTAGTGATGGACAAGATGACATATGTCACTGCTGATTTCTTCTTCACCTCTTCTTTTACTGGTGTTACTTTGATCCTGAATAGTTGACCCCCTAATTTAGTCATTTTATCCAACCTCTTTGCTTCCACAGTCTTTACCTTTCTTACAACGATCTCTTTAACATGCAATCATGTCCTTGATAAGTGTAGCCTAGTGTCAGCTCGTGAAAGTTCATCCTCACTTCACCAAAAGAAACAACCATTGTACTCCCAATATTAAATCACAAGACCTAAGGGTTATCAATAAGAAGTCAGCTATATACACCATGCCCTGCATCATCCAAGAAATGATTTGCACAACTCATTAGTATGTCTATCATGACCATCTGCTACATTGATGGCATTAGTTCTCATAGCTTGAACATTTTCTTGGAGTTCCCTTGCTAAACCTTCCTCCATGAATTTATAAGAACTACCAGGATCAATGAAAATATGCAGTGGTCTCTTCCGGCAATACCCCTCCACTCTTAAAGTGTGGTAGGTAGAAAGCCAATGTAGTGCATGCATTGAAATTTCACAAACTTCTCATTTATCTTCTTTTTTTTCTTGCTTTGGGTCCTCTATGACCACCTCTTCTTCTTCATCCTCCTCCCCTTCATCTTCTATCTACATTAGATACAAGGACTTTGATCCTCCATATTTGTACCCAGGGAAGAACTTCTCATCACAAAAAAGCACAATCTGTTTTGTCTTCTTTCATTCATCTCAGGAGATGATAATCTTTTGCTATTGTTCTTGTTCAAATTTAGAGGTGTTTCCTTCTTAGCCTGGTCATAGTCCTTTCTGGATCCAGCCCCTCTTGACAAGGAATTGTATGAGTTACTCTTTTTTAGTAAGAGCCACCAGTAGAGGAAGGGAATCTAGTAAGCTTAAGTTGAGAATGAACTTGAGATTCAGTATTTCTAGCCAGTTGGTAAGCTTGAGGCTGATAAAATGGTCTGTGGTTTTTAACGGTGAGACCTATCTTAGGTCTCGAACAGTAATGAAACCACTTATAGCATATTTCAGAAGGATTGCTAGCCTAGTCTTGATCTTATCAAACTCATTTTGATAATCCTTGACAGATCCAGTCTTTTAACCATCTTAAGTTCAGACATAGGATCCTCAAACTCAGCCACAAAGCTGTCCATGAGAACATACATATATTTATACCAAGAAGGATATGGTAGGTGGTACCTACTCTTGAGGTAAGCTAGGTTCAATTTTATAGCTAGACCATCAAAATGCAATGAAACAACTCTTACCTTCTGGTTTGGAGGTATCTCATCCAGGGAAAAGAACTGGTCCATCTTATATATCCAAGATCTTAGATCTGTATTGAACCTTGAAACTCTATCTTGGAAAGCCTAGACATAGGGTGAAGGAAGTGACCCTGAAAGTTAGGCTGGTGTGCTCCTCTTCCAAAGCCTCTCACTGATGTATGGATATGAAAACCTCCAAAGGTATCTAAGTTGGTGCACTAGTAGGCATCTAGTATGGAGCTGAAGTTTCTAGCCCAAGATGCCCTTCAGATCCTACCCACATAGCAGGGTGGGTTTTGATGCATATGCCCTCCTACTTGTGTTTGAAACTGGGGTAAAGATCCCATTCCAAATTGATATCCACCAAGTGTAACCATAGTATGTGTTCGTCCTGTGTGATGCAAAAACCCAAGCCATGGATTGTCCAAAAAGGGAATAGATGTCACCATTTCCTTCATTTCCCTCAACATTTTTACCCTTATCCCTTCTCTTCACAACTTTTAAGGATTTTTTAAGTTCAGCAAAATATTTCTCATGTTGGTCTTTTATTTGATTCAGCCTGACCAAGAAGTTAGCCAAATCCATGGTCATTCTCTCAAGCATATCCTTGATTTCTCTTCCTTCAGCCATTTTTCTACACACATAGCTTAAGAGATTGCTCTGATATCAACTGATGCAATTAAGCTAAGGAAAACAATGAAAAACAATGGAACAGTAATGAACATTAAAGAGATAAGCTAAGAAAATAAAAGAAAAAAAGTAAGAGAAAAGTTATTCTCTATTTAGCTAAACAATAGTCTACAGCAAAGAAACTAGCAATGCTTAACTAGCCAAGACATGCCTTGGAGACCGAACAAAACATTATTGTGAGCATTGGACCTCAAGTGTCCAATCCTCAAACATATCGGGAAATTTGGGTAATAACATAAATTGACTTTAAAGCCTATTAGACTAAACTGAACAAAATTAAACTATTATCTTAAATGACAACTTAACCAACTTAACGGTTAAGTACAATCCTTTAAGCACACATTACACCCTTCCTAAGATTTTTAATCCATTATTGCATCAATCCACAAGGCTACTCCATAGCTAAAGGAATTATCCACGGCTCGTGGAATGCCATCGTGAAACTTAGACATTTTTGTCTTCTTTGAGGTTTGAATCTACGAGGCCATTCCATGTCTAATAGAATGATTCCACAGGCCCTAAGTAAGGGTCATACATAAACTAAGACCCAAATTTTTAAGTCTTGGAACTTGGGACAATGTTGTACTCTCTGAATCTTTTCTATGGGTACATTCGAAGGTTTGTAGGATAATCCACGAATCATGAAAAGCCTCCTTAGAAGTATGCTTAGGGATGACTTTTAAATGCTAAGTGTTGAGTATTCATTTGTTCGAAATCTGGGGTGTTACATTTCTTTCTTTAAGTTGTAGCTTTGATAACAAGCAACCTTTTTTCTATTATGGTATTATTTCAGGCTTTCAAGTTTTTAGTTCGGTGACTTGTATTCTTGTAAAGTTTGTATTCTAAGGTTTGGATAATCAAAGATATTTCTAATCTGCAGTATTTATGTAAATAATCTTTACCTAATAACCAAGTTGTTGAGTGTTGCTCCATTTTCTGGTTAATATGAAGGAGACAATAAAGTTTGCTTATTTGCATCCTACCAAAATTGTAGGAAAATGGTATGTAACAAAGATGAATTTGTTAAGGCCAAATAAATTGGTGAGCAGAAATAAACCGAGAAGGACATTGTTGGAGCTCAAAATTTTGCTTTCAAGGCTCAAAATAGATTTCCAGCCTCTGATGGTAATTCTCAGTTTCGATAGATTATCAATGTTTATGTTGCTCATGAAAAGAAGAAGACTAATATGGAAGTGGATTTTTCTGGTATCCTTTCTGTAGAGCCCTTAGTTGATGATGAAACAATAATTAAATATTACACAAGGTTTGCTCAAGCTCTTAACCTGATATAAATCAATTTGTTGGGAACAGATGCAGGACTCTTAAGATTATATCTAAAGCTCCGGGTTATTTGTCTGATAGAACCAAAAGAATGATGTAGGAAAATAAATATGAATCTTCTGCTTCCAGAATGAAGCTTCTTACATCATAAGAAGTTATGAGTGCATTGTACTGGGAGACATTTTTGAAGAAAAGTAATTCATTTGCGAAAACTAATGCATGCTTTATTTTTTTATTCTGTTTTCACTTGTTCAAAAGATGATAGGCTATTAAAAAAAAGAGGCGCATCTAGGAGTTCAAGAGAATCATCCAATTTAGAAATTCTCAATATTTTATCGAATAAGGCTAGGATGGAGATCAATAAGAAGCTTATAGAATAGAGCATAACTTTTCCAACTTCATCTAAGAAGGAAAAAGATATGGAAAAGAAGAAACAAACTTTGCCTATCTTTAGTGCTACTGTTGATTTAGAACTAGAAGTTAAGTCAATGAATATTCTTGATTCAGACTTCCATAATTTTGACAAGTATAAAATGGGGCAAATGGGAAGAAATTATACACTTGTCAAAATTATGAAATTCCTAATCACGAACATTCATTGACTTAGCTTCTGTTTCAAAATCAATAGGAGCACAATATACAAATGAAGTTAGTTTTTTTTTTCCACTTCTTTTTCCTTGTTAGATGAAGTTGGAGAAGTTGTGCTCCTTTCTTTAAGCTTCTTGTTGATCTATCCTAGCCTTATTAGTCAGCATATTGCAAATTTATAAATTGGACAACTATCATGAACACCTAGCCATGCATACCTATCAGCTTTTGAATCAGGAACAAAACATGCATTAATTTTAATGAACAAATTTCATTTCTTCAGAGAAGCCTCCTAGTTCAGTGCACTCATAGCTTCTTTTGGTGTAAGAAGCTTCACACGTGAAGCAGAAGATCCATGCTTATTGTCATACGTCATTCTTTTGGTTATATCAGACAACAACAACCTCCCTGCTCCAAATATAACCTTAAGCACCCCTTTCCCCTAACATATAGATTGTTATCATAATGAAGAGTTTGAGAAAGTCTTTTGTAATGTTTTTTTATTGCTTCATCATCAGCCGAGGACTCTACAAAAAGGATACCGTGAATATCCACTTCACCAGTAGTCTTCTTCTTTTTTTGATGAGAATAATAAACATTGATAATCTTAACGAATTTAGAAATACCATCAAAGTCTGGAAACAAATTGTGAGCTTTCAAAGCAAATTTTTGAGCTCTAGCAATGTCCTTCTCGGTTAATTTTTGCTCAACAATTTCTCTAGCTGTAACATCTTCATCTTTATTACATTTCATTTGTTATAACTTAGACAGGTAGAAAATAAGCAAACTTGACATGAACTATTTACTAGATGAGTTTATTCACATAAAAGGAGAAACACTCGATGACATAGTTATTGCATGAAGTTTATTCACATAAATACTGTGGAGAAAAACTATCTTTGACTCTTCAAACCCTAGAATATAATCATTACAAAAATGCACGTCACATAAGCTACAAACTGGAAATGAGAAAATAATACATTCAAAGTAAAAAGGGTACTATTACATAGAAATAAAGCCGAAAGGCAAGTCAGATTAAGTGTGAAACTATACGTTTGATTATATTTGTTTTATGGATTTCATGAATTAATGCGCTATTCAATTTCCGCAAACACCAGAAAAGCACAGGTAAGAAACCCGTGAATGACTCTGAACTTTACGGAAACTAAACCTAACTAGTAAAAAGATAAGGGTATTGATATAACAATGGAGAACTTATAGTAGTGTCTAACATTATATCGTTTAATCTATTGAATTAACTATACTAGACCTTTCTAAATCTAACTGTGGTATTGTTCCATCCAAATGAAATAATTGCATATAACCTTCTAAATTTAACCATATTGTTTATCGAAAATCTCTATAATTTTATATATTTCATCATTTAGCCAAATGTAAAGGACTTCGAACAAATTGAATTAAGGGTGGACAACTTAGAGGGAGCCTACCTCCTCTTCGGATGGGGTGGAGAGAAAAAAAATGAATTGAACTAAAAAACTTTTCTAGAGATATCAATTTCTACCCACTGCTTCGAGCTCGGCCGAGTGTGAGCTTCCCAATAGTCTCTTCCTTCCTAGAAATAGAACTCTAACTATCAAACCCATCCCGTCTCCTTACTCGAAATATTTGAAGCTAGGGGAGCAAATGGGATTAGATACCCCAATAGTCCTAGCCATAAATGATGGATACTAGGCGTTATGCGTATCAACCCGTGCACTGCTGTAGCTAACGACTTCACAGACCAAGAACTACGAGATCACCCCTTTCATTCTGGGGTGACAGAGGGCCACTTAACTGTAAGGAGAGGAGCAAGACAAAACCTACTCCTGGGATAGGGATCGAGGAAGAGGAAAAATCGAAGATTTCACATGGTACTTTTATCAATCTGATTTATTTTGTACCTTTCGGTGAGATAGAGAAGAGTGGAATTTCGTGTGTAGGGGTGAAATCCAGAGATCTACGAAGGAACGCCAAAAGCGAAGGCAACTCTCAGGGTCCCTACCGACGCTGAGGTGCGATAAAATTTCATGTGATTCGGTAAACAAAATAGAAATGCCATCATTAATTGCTAGATCATTTATCTAATCTATCTAATTAGATGCAGAATGAAGAACCGACAAAAACGGGACGTGTTTTCTTAAACTTTCCTATAAATTTCATAAGTTTCTTATTCAAAAACTTATGAACAATTTTACCCATTGATGGAAAAAAAAATTGAACTTCATGCCAAATTGTGGAATGTTTAGGAAGCTCATAACTAAACAAATTTGATGAGATGTTGAAATTCACATTCTTGGTACAACAAAACATAGTAACAACAAGATAAGGACACTTATTCTAGACACAAAATAAATGTATCTTCCTTTTTGGAATAAGAATTATGGGAAACAAATAAATTGAATTATCGGCCTTTTGAAAACCTAAATTGTAATGGCCCGGAAAGCAATTCTTAACATAATTCAAGTCTCTAAGCACATAAATAGTGGCTGAATTTGTTATGAAACCACAAATGCATCTTGTTATTACCCTCAAGGTCATTTGCTTGATTTTGTGTTTATTTCCATTTTCCCCTTCCTATATCTTGATGTTGTGTTTTTAGTTGTTGGGATGGATGACACTCTTCTTAAGGTGGTCAGAAGAGATTTGGGTGAGTTTTCCTCATTTTGAAGTTTTTATATGGAAATGGTTGACTTCGGGTAAACAAGCTCGTATGATATTTCTATCAGCACAGTGAGTTCTGAAATGTCGAGTTTGATCTAGGTTGAGATTGGGTTGCTTGTTTGATTAGTTGTTTTCGGTTGTTTTATTGTTGTGTGGACTTTGATCAACATTTCATTGAGACGACCTCCATTGGCCATTTCTTCAATTCCATTGAGTCCGGAATGCTATATCTGATTGGATAACATATCTAGTTTTAATTTATTGAACCCTGATTGATTTGGTACATGTAAAGTTTAGTTCTAATTACTGGTGCAACATCTACTGATGCAGCTGTTCCTGTGAGGTTTGGCTCACTTTGGTGATGTCGCTCGTGTAAAGAGTGAGCCATGCCAGCAAAAGCTGCTACCTAAGCCTTTGGCCGCTCCTACGAGGCTTGTCTGCTCCTGCAAGCCCGCATCCACAAGCCTTTTGCCATTCTGGTAAGCCCGCTCTTGTGAAATTTGGCTTGCTCCCACAGAGTTAGAGGTTAGTGTTGACCTCCACTCCAACGACACCTTCTCTGGTTCAGTGATAGGTCACTTTGCGACGATTGATTCGCCAGGGTGACGATCGTTGAGTATTATTTCTCTCTCTTGTCTCATTTCTCTCGTATTTTCCTAACTTTTGGACATGTGATCCTCACCTCAACGAAAACATAATAACAAAGTTAGTTTTTCATTTCGTTGTCAAGCTTTGAGGGTCAATTTTCAACCTAATTTCCTATCAGAATTTTTCAAAATTGATATGGGCATTATTAGTCTCGTACTAACATTTAATTGCTATTTTTGATAGTGTGGCATCATTCTATGACTTTTCAAAAGGGAAATGCTCACGAGTAGTCGTTTGAGTATGATTTTGACTCTGAGGTAGGTCATAATTTCCTTCTTTAGACTTAGCTTAGTTAGTTTCTATATAAATTAGGTTGCATGATTGTTAGGAATATTGTAGGGAAAACTCTTATTCTTGTATGATCCGTAGTCACAGTTTGGCCATTTTTGAGATATAGATTAGTATATTAGCCTTAATGCCTCTGTTTTAGGTTGTCTTTAGTTTTGGCTTGGCTAATATAGAATCCTTAGAAGTTGTAACACCCCCAGAAATTTTTTGAACTAAAGCTCGAACCCTTATTTGTAGTGAGTGAGATTTTTGCAAGGAATTTAAAATTTCTTGAGTGTTAAGGTCACTAGACGTAGCACCTTGATTTCCAAAAAGAATCGAATTGAAAATAGCAAAATTTGAAATTATGCAAGTTAAGCTAAGTATGAGTTTTATGTCAACTTTAAACGACCATAACTCCCAGTTTCAAGTTCGGATGAGTGAGATATGGCCTTTTGAAGTTAGGATGTCTAGTTAAGGAAAGTTAGCCGAAAATAGTGAGGGGTATTTTGGTCTTTTCCTTACCCAATCAGATTTAATTCGTTATTAGTAATATTTTAGGGGACTAATCCTATTAGGTCAGTTTTGTAATCCGAATATACGCCTAGGGTTTTAGTTGAGAGTTCAAGAAAAGAAAAGAAGAGAAAAGAGGAGAAAAAAGGAAAGGATCAAGCGTTCGTCGAGATTCTTGCGTGTTCTTGCTGATTATCACTATGGTTTTGATCCCTATGATGTATGTAAGCTTCCATAGTGCTGGGTTTGTTCACCCACACACCAATCATGTTATTTTCAACGCAAATTTCATTCTTGAAGTTGAAAGATTAGAATTCTTGATGAGTTCTTGATAGGTGTTCTTGAAGTTCATTCTAAATATTGTTGTGTTGGGATTTTGATAATTTCTTGAGATGTAAGTGAGTGTTTGAGGTCTGTATTGAGTATATTAGAGTGTACTTATGTTAAGTAATCGAATCCAAGTGAATGGGGAAGAAACCATTCGATTCTAGAAGATTTGGGGTTAGAAAGCGAGGAAGAAAAAGTCGGACACTTGTTCCTTCAGGGTGAAAATTTTCTCTCCGTGTCGCGGAGAGGTCGCGGACTCTACTGTTTCGAAAATTATTTCGAGCAAACATTTTAAATTAACTCCGCGTCGCGGACTTTCTCCCTATAGAGTGTTTTTCAACCGTTTCTCATGTTTAGCTATCTAAAATCATTCATAAACATCATGAGACCTTTCCTATCACAAATGACAACCTTGAATTCATAAATCACATTCAAGGTAGAGTTGAGAGTCAAGTCTTGGGAGTTCTTTCTAACATTTTCAGAAAATCCTTTTTTGTCTTTTTGAGGCGTTTTCTACAAATTCTAATAACTTGTTTCAAGACTCGAGCAAGTGAGTATGAGAGTGAGAATAATGTATTCATGAGTCTACCTTGTCATCATGAGATCTTTCTTATCATGAACTATAACTCTTGAATTACATATTTACAAATTCAAGAGAGAGAAAGAGTTAAGAGTAGAGTCCAGAAAGTCTTTGAGTTCAATTGTGAATCCTTTGAGATCAATTATCGATTTGAGCTAAGTTTTGAGGAAGTAAGTCAGAGGATAAGAAGAGTCGTATACATAAGTTCCATATAGTTATGTAGACCATCGAGTCGAGTTGTTTCATGCCCATAATTTCGCATGAACTTCGTAAGTTGAGCATCTTTCATATAAGTGGTATATTCAAGTTCTAAGCCTTTAAGTGTTGAGTTCCTAATCCCTCTTGAGAAGCATCTTTGAGTACTTGAGTTGAATATTTCATGCACATAATTCCGCATGAACACTATAAGTCGAAAAATCTTGAGATGAGTAGTATCATTGAAGTTCTTGAGTTCCAAATATTGAGTTCTATCTTATGGTTATTGAAACCTTGCATTGAGTCGTTCTCATCCATAATTCGGCATGAACCATATTTTAAGAAGTCTTTTACAAATGCTTAAACTTTGTTTTAAGACTTAAGTTTTGAGTTAAGTAAAGAGTAAGAGTAAATTTCATTTTCTTTAAAATGATATATGGGAACTAAGTATTCCCAAGAGTAAACGTTTTCACATTTAAGATGAGAGGAAACTAAGATTTCCAAAAAGGTTTTGAGCAAGAAAGGGAACATTGATTCCAAGAGAGCTTTTAAGCTAAGTTTG